CAGCACATAAGTTACAACAAATACTCTAAACAACTCTATTTAGGATTCACCAGTTGAATTTACCTGTATTCCAATACTGATATTCTCTCATTGACACCAACTCAATATCTTTCGATTTAAACGACTAACTAATTATCTTTTTGATTAATTCCCTATCTACCTCGACTCGTCATTTTTTTATTAAACAGTGCATTTAGCATTTAAAGAGAGGGGTGATGGTTTTAAGTCCCAGTGTGAAAATTAACTCTGAGTTGCTGATATATTCAGCTGATGAATCAATAATAAAACGAAATGACAATCCTATCATTCTATTACTAGTGATTATCCATCTACTCTTAAACATTACTGTATATTTCTCCGGCTATATATATATTACTTACTTACGTCTGTTACTCCCAATGGAGCATAGGCCGCCGACCAGCATTCTCCAATCCACTCTGTCCTGGACCTTCTTTTCTAGTTCCATCCAATTCTTGTTCGTTTTTCTCCTCTCTATCTCCATTTCTCGGCCTAATGTGTTCTTTGATCTTCCTCTTCTCCTTTGGTCCTGAGGATACCATATGATGGCTTGACTTGTGACGCAGTTGAGTGCCTTCCTCAATGTGTGTTCTATTCACTCCCAACGCTTCTCCCTGATTTCTTCATCCACTGGAATCTGTTTTGTTCTCTCCCACAGTAGGTTGTTGCTGATGGTGTCCGGCCAACGGATCCGATGTATTTTGCGTAGACCACTGTTAATAAACACCTGTATTTTCTGGATGATGGCTTTCGTAGTTATCCAGGTTTCCGCCCCATACAGTAGAACTGTCTTGACATTTGCAGTTTAATCCATCATATGAATTCTGTATGATATTGACTATCTTCTGAGGCACGCCGTAGTGTTGAAGAAGCTTCCATAGTGTTGTTTTGTCCGCGCTATCAAATGCTTTTTATAGTCAATGAAGTTGATGCGGAGTGATGAATTTCATTCAATTCACTGTTCCACAATGATCCGTAGAGTTGCGATTTGGTCTGTACACGATCTATCCTTACGGAATCCTGCCTGTTGGTCACGAAGTTGGGTGTCTACACAGTCCTTCATCCTGTTTAGAAATACTCCGTTGAAAACTTTTCCCGGTATTGAGAGAAGAGTGATGGCCCTGTAGTAATCACACTTACTGAGATCGCCTTTCTTTGGTATTTTGACCAGAAGTCCTTGCTTCCAGTCTGTTGATACTTGTTCCTCATCCCATGTAGAAGTAGTGTCTCAACAGAATTCACACAACCGATTAGGACAACGAAGACGGTGAAGTCGACATCAACTGTGGAGAAGACGAGCCCATCATCAACTACTACATCAGATGATTTCAGTAGGTTCATATTGTTTCGTCAGAAGTCACGTGTTGTTCGCAACTATTTCCATACATGGTCACATGAGATTTGAGTTTGTGCTGTGCCCAGTGTTCAGTTGATTGATATACTGATTGATTGAACGATCGACTGACTGACTGCTTGAGTGAGTGCGTCGATTGAGGCACAGACCTACCTCGTGGTTATACTAGATTTGGTGACAGTATCTGAACGGCGTAATGACAACTGACGACCATTGTGTTTTCATTTTGCAGCGTTCGACTAGATCGCAGTCTCTCTTACAATTCAGTTCATTAATGTCATTCCGTGCGTTCTTGTGTGCACTTATCTTTTCATCTATTTGTAAGCATTACTGACATCTTCCGCAGAATGATGAAAAGTGAATCAAACGGAAGTTAGTCGTGAAGACACCACACCAGTAACAATCACTGACAACATCGATTCCTACTGACGGTATCACCGAGAGCGTGCCTTCAAAATATCAGTAACTTGCAATGAAACTATTATTATCATTACCAATTACATGCTATGGTATTTAAGACTTCTCTAATCAACTTTTCCTTGTAGAGATCTCCATGTTCGAGGTGGATATTGTGATCTATATTGGAGAACGGTCAGTGCCCATGAATTGGTCAACTGATCTGTCGAATGAGTCAAGTGTCATGTACAGAAATTTGTCGATGTCGATTTGTGACCTGGTAGGTGTGCATTGGTTATGGTTATTGTGTTCTTAGTGTACTGGTATGCAATAATCAGAGAAGCAGTGTGTGAATTGTTCGAACGACACCAGTGTAGTGGACAAATGGTTCTGTGAAATGACAGGAGTGAAGACTTCCGAGAGAGAGAGAGAGAGAGAGAGAGAGAGAGGTGGCATAGTTTGAATCAAATTGATGAATGTGTAATGTACAGACTGAGCTAGTAAGTAGGCGTGGAAGTGTGTATGTGTATGTGAGAACGGACGTTTGTGAGAAGGCAATGAGTTAGTGAGTAGGTAAGAAGTTAGTAGTAGGTGGTGAGTAAGTAGGTGAGCAGGTAATGAGTTAGTGGTCATGCAAGTGTGAGATTGAAGCGAGTAGTGATGAATTGGTGTATTGAGTGGTGTTCACATTGGTAGTGTGAGCGTCGGTTAGTTGAATGAGTAAGCCAGTGATTGTAAGTGATTGTCCATTTGTGAAGTGGTGGTCATGCACTTGGTCATTATAATGATGATAGCGATGATGAGCACTGGACGACACCGGTCTAATTGAAAATTGTAGTTGTGGTGTTGATATATGAGCAAGCGAACGACGGATCGAGAGACTGACTAATCGACTGATTGTGTATTCTGTGTGATTTTGTTTTGCACGTTGCAGCTATTGAGCGGACTACGTCTGGGTAATGAAGAGTTCTCTCGAGGTGCTACTTGTGTCCGTGTTGTCTTCATTCGGATCATGATCTGGATTGACGGTGTTGGCCAAGCTCACACAGACGCGGGTGTCAATCGTGTCTCAATCGAAGCTGTTCGAGCGATTGCGAGTGTGCAGTTGCATTTGTCTCGTGGATCACAACCAACTGAGACTGATCTGACGGAGACTCTGGTTCGTGGATGCACACTCCTGAATATCAAGAGTGGACCAAGTTTGAGAAACATCACAGCATATCGTAAGTTGTCAATTGTTGTTGCCCATTTTCCCAGTGATATGTTTTGATATGATATGATGTGATGTGATGTGATGTGATGTGAGATGAGATGAGATGAGATGATAGTTAGGCGAGACACTGAGTGTGGCTCCATTGAGATAGGAGAACAGTGACAGTATTGTTTATCACCTGATTGTTCCCAATGTTGGATGTGCACACCCGTAGTGGAAGCATCCAGCAGAGAGAACAATACACCATGGAAAACGTATACGTGGAGTTGGCGACTGACTTACTGATGGATAGGGAGGTGTGAGACTCTCCAGTATTCTTTCACAGGTCACATGCATCGTGGTAATGTTGATGATGTCGATTGTTTGTTGCTTACAATGTACGGTGTAGCATTTCTGTGATGTGACCGTGTTGTGTAGCATTGATTTGTGCAGATTTTCTAAATTGTGAGAAGTGAATCGATGTGTCAAGGAGAGATGAGTATGTATGGGTGTTTGTTATTGCATGTCAGTTTATCGATTGAAGGATAACCGAGATAAGATTCTTCGAATTCACACTTCTTCAATGACATTTGCTACTGCCTGAATTGTGCTTGTCATTTTCGCAATGCGTGCTATGGTCACTGAGTGTCACTATATAAATGTCGTAGTCTTATTTGAAGTTTTGGCTTCTGTCCAAAAATTAGAGCTGCAATGAAGACTCAGTCTTCTCTATCTCAACTAAACGTGTAGACTATGCAATTCGAAGTGTTGTTGTGCATGAGTTGATGTTCTGTTGAGTCGGACAAACAACATCTTGTTAGTAGAATAATAATAATAATTAGATGGTCGAAATATCAACCACCGTAGTCCTGTATGGAAGCTGACAGGAAGAAGATATTTCTGAACGATGAATACAACTACATGTGTTTTCCGTTTAACTCAACAGGTCCACGAACAAGCACTGTGACGTCGGGTGACGGTCTCGGACAAACAGAAACAAGTGTGTCGACAGAATCGAGGCAGTCGATCAGGACCACGTCGATGGAGACGATGACTGCAAGATCGACTGTGCTGATGACCAGCCCGTCATCAACTACTACTGGAGTTGCTTTCGGTAGGTTCACATTGTGTTGCATAACATCAAGTGCTGTGCATATCTTTTCCTACATACGCTCACACGAGATGTGTTATTGTGCAGTGTCTGTTGGTTGCTTGATTGATTTGTTTATTTATTTAGTTGCTGACAAATCATACGGGTGTGCGCGTCATTGGTCCTATCGATAAGTCACTGCTCTTTGATTGGCCGTGTCGTCACGTTATACATTAGCAGGGCACACAGCACATAAGTTACAACAAATACTCTAATATCCGCCAGATCTTCTTTGGATCTCTGGTGAATTAACTGCATTCTCATGCAATCCTGCCCATTATAACTTTTTTTAAATTAACATCAGTTTACAATTGCCATGTGAATGAGACCACGTAAAATTTCATAGATGTATTATTTTTGATGTCATGTGAATATGTAACTTTTTATGGATGCACGCTCATGTAAATCATATATGTACCAATCATAAATAATGAACCATGATATAACAATTCATCATGTAATACCCTTTGATAGAAATTACTAAGTTTGAAGCTATCACGAGTCCACTTACTTGGCGAACGAGAACATGACTTGTTGATCAAAGATCAGTAAGCTAGCTATTGATGCGTCCCAGCCCCGCTAACTAGACAGAGACGTCCGAGCTTGGAATGTGGAATTATATCCTGTAAAGAGCCAGAAATGAACGATCACAACAGACACATTTCAAAACGTATATAAACAGTGCAAAACTGTCCTTGAGGAGAGGTACCAAGCAGCATACTAAAAGACGCAACGGACCAATAGCATTGAAGATATTTCCCAGTGGGGAATACGACATGAAACTGACAAGAGCGCCTTTGGCGCGAAAACAAAGAAATTCAAATGTTGTAAATAAATTACAAAATTAGATGGTTTCCTAAGTGTATATATATATTATTCTTTCATTACAGAAACCTCTAGTTCAACAACACTGACTACACAAAGATCTACTTCATCTGAATATAAAGAACTAACCACACAATCTAAAATAACTTTGCCTGCTTTAACAATTCCAGTAGTTCATAATCGAACTGATGATCAATTTACACGAATACACTCTACAACTACTTCAAAACCACAAATTGATTGTAAGTTGATACATCATAGAATAGGATTAGTAATATTATCATGATTACCTAAGAAATTAAATTTCATCAAGGATTCTTTAAATGAAACTTTTGTCATTGTTTATTCCAATTCATTTCAATAAGAATATTTGAAAATAGAGGAAATATGTGATATGGCTAGCAATCATATTTTAGATATATGTTTCATGTTATTTGTTCTTATCAACTGGATATACCTCTATTCGGTTTGTTAATTACTATAAGATTTGTACCTAGTAACTTTCTCAGCAGAAATATAACATGCTATCCAGTTCACTAATGAGTTCATACAACCGGTTACTTGTACATTGACTATGAATTTTGATTACACCTGTCATGATTTAGATTATCCTGTTTATTCATTAAAATTCAATCCAAATATGAACAATATGATAATCTACACGAAGTGAACGACGTGAACAATTTCATACAATTATTTATCTCTATTCTGATTCATGAAAACAGTTAATTCTATTTCTAATCGATTGATCACTGGGTGGCAATCAATGTCATGTATGCCAGGTCCTTCTTAGTGCAGATCGGATCCTATCGACCAAGTTGCAATGTGGCCACCAGCCTTGGTGACTGTACATCACCCAGTGATCAATCAATTGATAATACATCTAGGTCCTAAAGGAGGTCAGTCGCGGCCCGGATAGATCAGTGGTAACTGTGTAGCTGGGTGACAGGGAGCATCAGTTCCCTCAAGATTATAGGTACACTTTTCTGACGAGTGCCAAGTAGCACGAAACCTATGTCCAAGGTTTCCTGTTGACTACCTCCATTCACCATCATAACTCTATTTCATAACTCAAGATGCCTCAAAGGTATTCAGTGTATGTGCACATTTATATAGAGTAGTCTCAACATAATTTACGATATGAATCAATCATGAGTAACATTAAAGGTTCATAAGATATATATTTGTATATGTTCGTGATCAACGATTCAAAAATATGAAAGATAAGGTCAATAAATATTTGTCAAACAATACTGAAGCTTAATGAATAGCTTAAACATTTAACATAATTTGCATAATAAGTGGTGCATTTTGGAAATTACAAAAAACTATATCCCTCAATATTCCTAGTCTAGTCAATGAAAGTATCTCTAATGTGTCTACTGAAATAAACAAACAATTTTGTGAAATCTGGGAATTTCGGAGATATAACAATTGGAGATGCCTACATATAATGTAATTCAATTTGTGAACCTAGATGTTTTAGCTTACTAGAACGAGTATATTTATATGTTAACCTTAATGATATGCATTCATTCAAAAAAACATCGATGAACTACTATGTAGAATTTTCTGTAAAATGATTATGTCATTAACAGGGAGTTAATTCTTATCTATTAATTGTAAAACTCCTATTTTGTGAAAATTTTGTAAGACTAATTTATGCAAGAGCCAATCAGATTTAAGATAGATCAATGATTTTGGCGCCAAAATAATTCATTCATTTGACTAAATAGCGTTTTAACATGTTAGATGATGTCCGTTCCTGATGAAAAACCTAAATCTAACACTCAACCATAACCCTCAACTATTAATCATAATCCTTAATCTTAACACTGGTTTAGAATCCTGATTTAGTCCTAGTAAGTAGATTGAGATTGTCAACATCATTTCAAAATCACACAAAGGTCCTCCGTTGTTACAGCCCAAAGCCGCCAATCAGAAACAGCGAATTATCGATCGGACTAAGGACACATGAAATACGTGAGAGCAGCCTAGAGTCCTGATTGGTTCTGCTTCCATCCTAGCCCAGCCAGTTAAGTCCAGAACACCAGTCTCAGTCTCTGCTATATAAATCCTTATATTTCAAACATACTCAGTTTATATATCAACCAAACAGACCACAAGGTGGCATAAAATAGGGAACAATATTTGTACAAGATTTGGCCAAATGTGGCTGTGAATGTGGGAGACAGCGACTAATAATAGACATGTCATAATTCAAGAATTGTAAAACGTATTCTAGTGGCCCGTCGTTTTGTCGTCGTTTAAATCGAATGACGTTGTCAAAAGGGTTTACCAATTTAGTGGCCCGTTGATCTGACTCCAATTAGATCGTATGAATGTTAGTTATCACCAATCCTCGTATACAATTATCGACTGAAATCACGTTAGTCAATAACGAAATTTAGATAAGTCAATTAACGAGAATGGCCCTTGAATACACATATTTTGTGTGTAAAGTGAATGAGATAGAACAAAGCGAAATGACGCGCGTAGTGGAGATGGCTGGTAAGCCAACTCCATTTCTAGCCAGGCGTTACGCAATATTTATAGGCAGACAAAATAAACTACAGACATGTGATGAGACATGGGATATGAAGTGTACACACATATACGCTCATATAAAAACAGTCAAGACTACTGATAAGCGAATAATTAACAAGGTCAGAATATGACTCAAGTAGAATGAATAGATTGATTTGTCCGAAAACTAGAATAAGATATATTATGGGCTTAAAATAATGACTGACACTACAGTATAATAATGGTTCACAGGTCAAAATAAAGTTTATAATAAGAGGAATATGAATAGTTGGATTATTTAACAGTTATGCGATAAAAATATACGTTTAGTATTGGTCGATGGAAGAATCCCAAAGTTACCATTCATTATTTTTATCGAGACCTAACACACCTCCCCTTTTTTTGAAGATCCGGTGTTGATATCCGGATTTTAAATTCTCTGGGTTCATCCTCCTCCACCAAACAATGTTGGATCGTCATATTCCCAAGTTACAATTAACTTAAATTTATTTAAAACATATTTGTCGCATTGAACAGAGAGAGTGACTAAGTGGTGAGGCTTAACGACGCTTGATATGAGGTAACCGAAGTTTGATTCTTCCGAAATATTGTGAACAGATTTATTGGGAACCTCATTTCTAGATAATGGATCATCAATGTAGTCAGAATTTATCAAAATTGATCATCGTTTGATCTATCTGACATATTTTCTGGTAAAAGAGAATTTCGATAATTAGATTCGGCAGAAACTTCTGTCGCTGAATGATGAGATCCATTTGAAGCAGCTGCATTCAGTGTACTTCTCGATTTGTTTTTTGTTTCATGGGCGGTTACTGCGACAATCCTATGGATATTTAACAGGGCGTCTGTTTGTGAGCTGGATAAGTCACTGTCTGCACATGCTGTTTCAGGGATAATGGAGTTGCAATCCATTACCGGGCATGTTTCTGAAATGGAGAGTACTGGACCACTTGGCGGATCTTCAGTGACTGCTGTATCGTTTGAAATACGGTTTGTCGAGGATTCATGGAGGCTGCAATCATTTTCCAGCTCAGTGTGCAATTGAGAAATTAATCCATCCACTTCAGTCGCATCTCCAAAGCACGAGTGACTCAGCAGCTGCGTGCGTAATTTGACTAAGAACGCCAACTGTCGCTGAAAGAGCACGTGTAATCGATCGGAAGGGAGAGTTTTTTTAATCAGCACCGTCAATGAAAATTACTGTATGAATAATGGCCTATGTCGTTCAAGGACACTGATGACAAATCTGGATGCTGATTGCTCGAAATAATTAGACTGAATTTCGTCCAATTACAGAGAAACTTTGGATCGTTTTTTTTACCCCGTCACCAACTGTTATACCCCAAAGCTGCCAATCAGAAGCAGCGAATTATCGGTCGGACCAAGGACACGTAAAACTCGTGCGAGCAGCCTAGAGTCCTGATTTGTCCTGCTTTCCACCTAGCCAGGCCAGTTAAGTCCAGAACATCAGTCTCAGCCTCTGCTTTATGAATCCTTATATTTCAAAACTATTCAGGTTATATACCAATCAAACAGACCACAACGAACCATAAGATAGAAAATAACATTTGCACAAGATTTGGCCAAATCTAGCTGTGAATATGGCAGTGACTAATAATAGACAGGGCATAATTCAACAACGGTAAAACGTATAATAATGGTTCATAGGTCAAAATAGAGTTTATAATGAGAGGAATATAAATATGAATAGTTTAGTTATTTAACAATTATGCGACAAAAATATACGTTTAGTATTGGTCCATGAAAGGATCCCAAAGTTACCATTCATTATGTTTATCGGGATCTAACATCCATAAATTCTAATCTCACTCAAACATGAATGTTTATCTACCATTATATTGAATATAATCAAACTGACCTGTTTATTTCCATTTGATTATAAAATATTTCAATTGAATTTACAGATCCAATTCTATGTCAAATCAGTGGAATAATTTATTTTTCAAAATCATTTCAACCAATAGAATGGTTAGATGATTTAATTAATAATTCAAGTGAAATTTATCAGAATTTCTCATTAGATATACAAAATCAAGTATGTTAATTTCTTGTAGGATATAATCGATGCATTTTTGTGATATATATAGTAGATCTTTAAAAGATTGATGTAAGATCACCATGGAGAACCTGGAAACACTGGATAGTTGTTTCCTTCTAGTATGTAACACTTCGAAGTACTGTAAGGCCAATACTAGGACGAAACGGCCATCCAGTGCTTCCAGGTCTTCTATGGTGGTCTAGCTTCAATTGACTCATGAATTTAACCATAAAATCGCTTTCTTTTATTATTAAACTGGTAATAATTGAAATAGGGAACATTGATAAAAATCTGGACCAATCATTGAGAGATGTCTCATATATCGAATTTCCATTATTTCATATAAGCAACAAATAAAAAATCCTAATATACAGGTCTCATTCTTACAATTATGATATATATATATATTGGGTTAGTGGATGGACGAAGTGCCGTTGGTTATATACAAAATATTGAGATCATTTGAATAAATCAATGAGAAGATGAAGTTTACCATTACTATACCTGATGTATATTAGCTCAATACACTATGAACAATTTGATCATATTTATATACAGATTTGCTGAGACACTCAGATGCAAAATAATAGGTTAACTATAGAAATTAGGAGACGAGAGATAACAAAGATAATGATGTTTATCAGCCGATAGATATGCCACAGTATGATGACACTTATTACATTTTGGGATTAAACTAAAGGAGGCCAGATTATCCTACTATTTAGAGGTGATTGAAGTGGTCATGTTTTTAAATGAAGAATTAAACTAGAGATTAGTAGGTGTTTTAACTCAGAACAACACATCCTCATCGAAAATTGTGGATCAAGGTTTCAACAAAATCCTAAACATCATGTAAACAAGTGTATTAAATCCCACTTTGTTTATCAGTTAATATGTATGTGCATATATACTTACAGGAGAGAAATAATCGTGATCTCTTATTAGTGATGACTGAATTCATATCGAAGTGGTTACAGAAACAAATGAATTCCAATGGTCAAATAAAAACAAAGGAGAGACAAGTTTCTTAGATCATTTATGAACAGTTACGATGGTCCATGGATGAATCATATCAGATCAACCATCCTAGTGTTGCATATGTGGTTTATTGATGCCTTGACTAAACGAAATTTCAAATCACCCTTATGTATTCGGAATCAGTTTGTTATGCGAATCACTTTGTTTCTTCTAACCTATATTGTATAGTTGACCTGTAATTTTGCATCTAAGATGATCTTGACAAGTATATATGTATAACTAGATTATTTGTATTGTGCTGATATACGTCAAGTATAGACCTGGTAAACTTCCTCTTCTTATTATATTATCCAAATTTAGGACGGTTAATAATTGTGTCTTAATGGGAAGTATGATCAATAAACTAAACATACTTGTAAGGAATTACAATTCCTAATTTTTGATGCTAAGACTTATCCTTAATCAATTTCTATTTTTATGTTTCTATTATGAGGGTATTGTCCTGCTACCGAAGTCTATTCAAACACAGTTTGAATATACATTAAGTCAAAGTAATTTCTTTCATAGTTGAATTCATCAGTTGATTAAATCTAGATCACTACTGAAAACCTAGAAGCACTGGATGACCGTTTCGTCCTGGTATGCGGCTCCTCAGCATTGTGCAACCATGATCTTGCTCACAGGATTTGAACCGTGTCCAGTGCTTAATTGTTTTCCATGGTCATCTAGCTTTAATCGACTCATCACTTCAACTGTTCAATTACTACAATCTCCACAAACCCCATATTCTGATAATTTCTTTCTTTTTTTTCTTTTGTTTTTTTACGTTATAGATCAACAATGTAATGGAAATATTAGATTTACAATTTGATTTATCTCTCAAGATTCTTAACATTAAATTCACTAAAATTCCTATAACAATGCAAAGTATGCATGATAATAATAATAATAATAGTAGTAATAATAATAATACCACTAATCTTCGAAATTCCACCGTAACCTATAATATTAGTAGTCAGATCTCAGTGACAATTACATTAGAAACGAAATTACTACTACCATTACCAATTCCAGACAATAGGATGACAGAGATTTTAAATGAAGGATGGAAGCACTTAACAATCATATCACAATTCATTTTAATTGATATACAATTTTCAAGTAAGATTTTAATTTATACAATTTTATGAATTACAGTTTAGAATAATGTTTGAATATGATTTTGTTAATGAGTGCAGTTGACTAGTAAGATGGTAGTTGGAGGTAGTCAACAGGAAACCGTGAACTCGGGTTTCGTGCTATTTGGCACTCGTCAGCTCCATAACAAATTCGATCCTGTTTCAACAAGCTTCACAGTCAGTGACGTTACGATTGAGCTGTTCGGGCTGCGACTGACCTCCTGTACGACTGAGATATATTCACTATTGACTAGTTGCCACATTGCAACTTGGTCGATAGGATTCGATCTGCAATAAGAACTCCTTGAAACATGTGGAATTTTTATCATTACGCCATGATCAATCAATTGTGAATACTTGGCTAGTTTTAGAAAGATTCATATAGTTTGCAGCAAGCATATCACTAAATCTTGGTGGAATGGTATTACAAAAGTCATATTATTTCTTGAAATAGACATCTTGAAGGTTAAACCTAGTTTCCTGCATGTAAATAAAGTTTAGAAAATGCAGTAGACAGTCATTTCAATGTGAATGTTTACATGATGTGCGCACTTCTATTCTCCCAAAGCAAAAATTATTCAGATCAAGTACCATGTTCGTTATAAAGCAGTTGGTCACCTTAGGCATTAAAAATGATTGCATGATATCTAGAACTGATTGAGGCTAAATATGTAAGATGCCAACTCAGATATGAAACAATAATAAATACTCATCGTGATTCTTGATGACATTGTATATAGGCACTGTTGAAAACGAAATTCTATACTATGACAAGAAGCTTGTTCACCGCTTCCTGATTCCCAGTGTTCGTTTAAGACTTGTCCATGATGTAAACAATGATATTCGTCAATCCAAACAAACTATCTATAGTAACTTAAGTGTAACAGTTGCAGTGAATTTTTTAGTACACTGGTATGTTGGATCCTAGTGATGATTAAACTACGGGTAAATTCCGAGAACTATTAATAGACTAATATGATATATATATTCCTATTGTATTATTGTTGAGTAACTGGATTTTGTATATTTATATTCCTCTTATTATAAGCTTCATTTTGACCTATGGATTATTATTGCACGACTGATTGTTCTTAAGTTATGTTCAGTTCACTAATTAATGTCTCCAACGTTCACAGCTACTTGTTATTTCCTACTTTATGGTGTGATGCCTTCCGTTTGGCTGGTATATAAACCAAGTATGTTTGAAATAAATTATTTGCATAGTGAAAGCTGTTGGCGTTCTGGATTCAACTGGACGGTCTAGACGGAAAAAGGACCAATAAGACGCTAGGCTGCTCATACTGTTCGAACGTAATTGGTTTGGCACAGTGATAAGATTGAATAAGTCGTGTTTCATTTGGTGAGTAAATCAGGTGATAACTAGCTGGGCTTAAAGTTGTAACATGATAGATTCTATGTTACTAACCACAATTCAATCTATCCAAGTAACCTAACTGAATAGTATATATTTCCAATACATTTCTTATCTAAAGTAATTCTTTCTTGATATATTTACTGTGGATTACTTCAAGTAGAAATGAGAAATTTTTCACTTTATACAGATGGATTCGGTTTTTGTTTTACTAATTAGATTATACAATTCAATTTATATTTTAGGTATATCAACTGATCTTAAAACCATTCAAACATTACCAATAATGACTATTACAGAAAAGATGAAAATAAATCAAACAACTACGTTACCTATGATAAAACCAACAACTGATACTACATTAGACAATTTAGAAGGTAGATTATGACAACAACAAAAAATAATCTATGAATAAGTTTGAGTTCATTTTTTTAATAATTTAGTAATAAATTTGTTCATAAATTATAATAGTTTGATGTATACTACTTATGTTAGCAGAAATAAGTAGTAGGTCACACGAATCAGAAGTGGAATTCCTGACAGTAGATGGTTCAGAAGATCGAACTGAAGGGAATAGAATTACAAACAGAAAGTAATTGTAATAACAGCTGGAATGACGGAACGATGAAGTATGAAAGAGACAATCGATATAAGATGAGCAAATGAGCTAGCTAATACCATGACATACCAAGATTTCTTGTAAACTGTAATAATACAGAGAATAACTGTGGACGTAATTTAATAGAATAGACCAATTCATTTATTGTGAAATGGAAGAAAGACTTCCACTTATAAGACTAAATATAATGAATATATCTAGCTATAGAAGGCATTATTTAAATTTAGGTTGATTTAATTTGTTTATTTATTCTCTGAAGAGGTGGCTTACACTGAGTCACGAAACGTCGGAAAATTTAAAAACTTGATTTTTCTACTGATTGGGATATTAAAAATACATTATTTTTTAATAAAAACCATCTACTAATGCTCAATTTATTTGAGATTATCAAGTCAAACCTTCGTAATGACACGTACTACCAACTTATCCATTCTCAACAAGCTACAATTTAAACTTGTTCATTATTCACTATCCAACTCTGACTGTTTTTATGTAAGTGAACAGGCATTATAATCATACACATCACATAAACTTGAATTAGATTCATTCATCGTGCATCGGATCAAGCATCAAAAAATGATACAAATTTAAAATTCCTAATAGCATTTGATATATTGACTAAATGCATATACATATAAATGACCAAACCGAAAATGCTGGACTAGAGAATTTGAAGAACGAACAGACAGAACTGTTGACTGCACGACGGATTGATTGAGTGATTGACTGATTGATGGATTCGGTCTTTTCCTTAAGATTATTTAAGCTGGATGAATTCGGATTGGTAGTCCTGTCACGGGGGATTGGACAGCTGGCTGAAACTCATAATGCTGACCTAGTGAAGTTGACTGAGGAACAGACCCATCTTCTGGAGACGATTTTGAATGCGATCGTGTTGGCATAGTGCAAACCAGCGATACTAACATTAAGTTGTCATTTCTTCTTCGTCTGCTTACACTACTGTTATCCAGTGCGTTTTTGTGTGCATTTATCTGTCATTTAATTACAATTTTGAGCGAACTGTGACGAGTGGTAGAAAACCAGTAAAATGAAAACATTTGTCAAGATTATACTAACAACCATCAGCTCCAACATCGATTCGGTGATTAAATCCTTCCCCCTAATCGTCTTCATCATGTTCAGGATTATCAACATCGTTATGCTGGTGTTGGTACAGTTTGTTGCACTATTATCATCGTTGTTGACGTAAATGCTAATAACACTCTGATAGTAGAGCTAATGGCAAGTTTGATGATAATATTACTAATAAAATTACTAACAATGACAATAATACCACTACTAACAGAAATAATAATAATAATCATAATAATAATAACAATAATAATAATAATAATAATAATAATAATAATAATGGTAGTAGTGGTAGTAGTATTCATGACACGAATATTAATATGATTACTTTCATCGATATGAAATGTTTCACTCGTTTCCATTTGTAGAGATCTCCGTGTTCGAGGTGGATATTGTGATCTACATTGAAGAACGGTCAGTGCCCATGAATTGGTCAACTGATCTGTTGAATGAGTCAAGTGTCATGTACAGAAATTTGTCGATGTCGATTTGTGACCTGGTAGGTGTGCATTGGTTATGGTTATTGTGTTCTTAGTGTACTGGTATGCAATAATCAGAGAAGCAGTGTGTGAATTGTTCGAATGACACCAGTGTAGTGGACAAATGGTTCTGTGAAATGACAGGAGTGAAAATCTCCAAGAGAGGGAGAGAGAGAGAGAGGGAGGGCATAGTTAGAATCAAATTGATGAATGTGTAATGTACAGACTGAGCTAGTAAGTAGGCTTGGAAGTGTGTGTGTGTGTGAGAGAACGGACGTTTGTGAGAAGGCAATGAGTTAGTGAGTAGGTAAGAAGTTAGTAGTAGGTGGTGAGTAAGTAGGTGAGCAGGTAATGAGTTAGTGGTCATGCAAGTGTGAGATTGAAGCGAGTAGTGATGAGTTGGTGTATTGAGTGTGGTGTTCACATCGGTAGTGTGAGCGTCGGTTAGTTGAGTGAGTAAGCCAGTGATTGTAAGTGATTGGCAATTTGTGAAGTGGTGGTCATGCACTTGGTCATTATAATGATGATAGCGATGATGAGCACTGGTCGACACCGGTCTAATTGAAAATTGTAGTTGTGGTGTTGATATACGAGGAAGCGAACGACGGATCGAGAGACTGACTAATCGACTGATTGTGTATTCTGTGTGATTTTGTTTTGCATGTTGCAGCTATTGAGCGGACTACGTCTGGGTAATGAAGAGTTCTCTCGAGGTGCTACTTGTGTCCGTGTTGTCTTCATTCGGATCATGATCTGGATTGACGGTGTTGGCCAAGCTCACACAGACGCGGGTGTCAATCGTGTCTCAATCGAAGCTGTTCGAGCAATTGCGAGTGTGCAGTTGCATTTGTCTCGTGGATCACAACCAACTGAGACTGATCTGACGGAGACTCTGGTTCGTGGATGCACACTCCTCAATACCAAGAGTGGACCAAGTTTGAGAAACATCACAGCATATCGTAAGTCGTCAATTGTTGTTGCCCATTTTGCCAATGATATGTTTTGATATGATGAGATGTGATGTGATGTGAGATGAGATGAGATGAGATGAGATGACAGTTATTCGAGACACTGACTGTGGCTCCATTGAGATAGGAGAACAGTGACAGTATTGTTTATCATCCGATTGTTCCCAATCTCGGATGTGCACACCCGTAGTGGAAGCATCCAGCTGAGAGATCAATACACCATGGAAAACGTATACGTGGAGTTGGCGACTGACTTACTGATGGATAGGGAGGTGTGAGACTCTCCAGTTTTCTTTCACAGGTCACATGCATCGTGGTAATGTTGATGATGTCGATTGTTTGTTGTTTACAATGTACGGTGTAGCATTTCTGTGATGTGACCGTGTTGTGTAGCATTGATTTGTGCGTGTTTTGTAAATTGTGAAGAGTGAATCGGTGTGTCAAGGAGAGATGAGTATGTATGGGTGTTTGTTATTGCATGTCAGTTTATCGATTGAAGGATAACCCAGATAAGATTCTTGGAATTCACACCACTTCAATGACATTTGCTACTGCCTGAATTGTGCTTGTCATTTTCGTAATGCGTGCTATGGTCACTGAGTGTCACTATATAAAGGTAGTTGTCTTATTTGAAGTTTTGGCTTCTGTCCGGAATTTAGAGCTGCAATGAAGACTCAGTCTTCTCTATCTCAACTAAACGTGTAGACTATGCAATTCGAAGTGTTTTTGTGCATGAGCTGTTGTTCTGTTGAGTCGGACAAACAACATCTTGTTAGTAGAATAATAATAATAATTAGATGGTCGAAATATCAACCACCGTAGTCCTGTATGGAAGCTGACAGGAAGAAGATATTTCTGAACGATGAATACAACTACATGTGTTTTCCGTTTAACTCAACAGGTCCACGAACAAGCACTGTGACGTCGGGTGACGGTCTCGGACAAACAGAAACAAGTGTGTCGACAGAATCGAGGCAGCCGATCAGGACCACGTCGATGGAGACGATGACTGCAAGATCGACTGTGCTGATGACTAGCCCGTCATCATTTACTACTGGATTTGCTTTCGGTAGGTTCACATTATGTTGCATAACATCAAGTGCTGTGCATATCTTTTCCTACATACGCTCACACGAGATGTGTTATTGTGCAGTGTCTGTTGGTTGCTTGATTGATTTGTTTATTTATTTAGTTGCTGACAGATCATTGAACTAACTGACCTAGTGACTGTCATATGCGCCGAACTCTAAAGGAATGGTAACTTCCATCACTAGTTTAAAGACTATTATAATGTGTTATGTTTTATTGTGTTTTTCCCCTTCGTTCGTTCATTTTTTCAACATGCTTTTACTTTTCTCGCGACTATTATTTCTTTGATGCTTTTTCTGTGCCGATTGCATCTGTCTTAAACTATTGCAATTTGTGTCTGTGCAACATTGAGTTTATTTTTACTGTGTGCAGTAGCTCCTCGTCTAGTGCAGCGCATCTTGTCGAGATCACTCGTACCAGCCTCCGCTATTTGAATTATTTCCTTCAGTCGTGCGTTGTTTATATGCAAGCATACGAGAAAGCGTCACACGTAGTAGCTGCATTATGAGGAAAAACAACATTGGATATGAATTCATCCGAAACATAACTATGTCACGACTTATTTATTCCAAAATGATTCGCTCCAAATTATCAGTAATTCCAAAGTGGAATAATGAGTCACAAGAAAAGTCCACGCCGAAAGTGATTGCTAAGGAATCCGACCAAGATGTCATAAGTTCGATATAAACTTGAAGGATGTATAAAAAACCTATTCGCATGACATGTGTGTGTTGTGTTGACTGACTGTCGTACTGATTGACACATCGACCGATTGACTGTTTGATCAACGTGTTGATTGATCGACGGATTGATTGAGTGATTGACTGATTGATGGATTCGGTCTTTTCCTTAAGATTATTTAAGCTGGATGAATTCGGATTGGTGGTCCTGTCACGGGGCATTGGACAGCTGGCTGAAACTCATAATGCTGACCTAGTGAAGTTGACTGAGGAACAGACCCATCTTCTGGAGACGATTTTGAATGCGATCGTGTTGGCATAGTGCAAACCAGCGATACTAACATTAAGTTGTCATTTCTTCTTCGTCTGCTTACACTACTGTTATCCAGTGCGTTTTTGTGTGCATTTATCTGTCATTTAATTACAATTTTGAGCGAACTGTGACGAGTGGTAGAAAACCA